AAAATTGTTTCATCTACGAAAATCTGTTTATATATTTACATAAATTATTTATTTAATTTACTCCATAATAGTGCCTTGTTTTCCTTGAAAATACATTTCAGAAGACTATTTAATATTATTTTTACTTTCATTTAGAAGTCAGACAATTCACTTTTTCACATATATTGCTGTGATATATTTATACTTCCGCAGCAGCCTTTCACATTCTCCAAGCATGCTTGTTTTGTTAATTAGATCATCAGTAAAACTTATATCCATTAGAAACGACATACATTTGGCAGAAATAATAAGCTATCTTGGTAATCAGGTAATGTCTGATATCAAGTGCTTAGTCAATATTACACTCACCCACTTCTACACCACGGCTTTTCGCAGTTTTTTGTCACGAGTTCAAGAAAGCAGGATCCAGTACAGCACAGAGTTTGATTGTTGTTAGTGTCAACTCGCTTTTTTAGAGACATTTGAAGCCTGAAATTCTGTACTGATATCATCTGGTAAACAATAATTTTTCTACTTGATTTCGTTTAATTCATCGATTTTTATGTTCTATTCCGTTTGATGTCTGCCTGATATTTCTCGCTGCTTTTTAAATAAACTACTCGTGATCTCCCAAGTGTTCCATAATAATTACTAGTCACTGTTGTTTATATTGCATTACTGTATACAATGTCGACGTACTTTTTAAAATATAGACATTTACTATCTTACTCGAGCAGTAATAAACAGCAAAAGCAGCTATCTTGCAAATTTCTTTGATCCGATTTTTTTTTGTTTCGCTTACGTCTGTTCAATCTTCGTTCAAAGGTCAGATTGTTTAGTTAAAATTTTCCCCAATCCCTTTCGGAAGGCTGACACTGGCTTGGCGTCCATTAGTCTTTTCGCAGGAACGAGAACGATTATGTGTTATACTTCCGTATAATGAAATATATGCGACTTTCTACCATAATTCAAAAAAATCATCAAGTTCAACTTAATCTTGGCATAGGAATGCAAACGCCATAGATAACGTACGGTTTAGGAGGCTTCGGTGAATGTAACGTTTCGTGAGGCCATTGTTTTCGTGGTTGTGTTCGCCGTTCGGTCTTAGATGTCGTCCACACCGTATATTGGATCGAAAATAAGTTTAATCTCCAAGTCGGAGATCCGTTATGAGGGCATACTGTATATGGTGGACCCTAAGGAGTCGACCATCGCCCTGGCAAAAGGTAATTTTCAAGGAGACGTTGGGTTAAATGAGATTGAGAATTTGTGCTTGATAATTTCTTGCAGTTCGTTCGTTCGGCACCGAAGATCGACAGGCAGATTACGTGGTTCCGGCCCGCAATGAGGTCTACGAATATATCATCTTCAAAGGCAGTGATATAAAAGACCTAATCGTAAGAGATTCTCCTCAGCCGGTACCGCACCTATATTCTGGCTTGCCGTACGATCCTGCGATCATTTCTGTGTCAAAGGTAGATGTTACTGACAGTCTAGCCTGTCATATCGTCGGCTGACAGTTGTTACTTGTTGCAGCAGCCCCAGCCAGGCACCGGTCCTTTCTCTCAGGTGGAAAATGTACAGCAGAACTTCGCCACCGGTCAGCAAGGTACTAAGCCTGTCGAAGAAAGCAATGCATGTAAGAATGCTAATCTTGTGCGCTTGTGTATAACCAACATTCCGATATCCTGCCATTCTTTTCAATCCAGGGAGTTTCTGATTCATCTCATGCATACGAATAAATAAGTCTCCCGCTGGTAGCACGTTCCCAGGTTGTGTCTGCCTGGCGATAGCTATGTCTATGTTACGTAGTTTTAGGATGCATGGATTCCGTAAAGTTTTTGACCCTGCGTCTGATGTACTGTATTGGTTTTTTAATTTAGTTTTTCGGATAATCGTTTAAAGTCCCTGCAAACTGGTTCTGATTGCCTTTTACATTTTTCAGACCAGTGAAAACAATTCAACAAAGTGATTCAGAGTACGGCTAGGGTTACATGTTTTGCACGTTAGGTCTTTCTTTAACATCTTTTGTCGTGGTATCAACTAATCTGATGACAGAAACATATAGCAGGTAATTTATATCGATGTTGTGGAAGACTAGATGCGGATACGTCTAATTCCATGGGTAGCAACAGAAAGGCCAGAAATTCGCTATTTAATGCAGATTCGACGGTTCTACCAAAATTGACATCAACACCAGCAGGGTAGAGAAAGTATATTTCTTTCAGTCGGTTGTTAAACAGACAGCAGCTGGCCTGCTTCCGCCGCTGATGGAAACTGGTATATATTATTTTTTCCATTGATCTGCGCCAATTCGGTCGAACCATTGCATCAGTGTTAAATAAAGAATTTTTTCCTTTCTTGTTGCTGATTTCGAATCAGAAGTTGTGTCTGCTTCTAGTCATCTAATCTACTCTGTAGACATGAGTTCAGGAAATTATTTATCGAAAAGTTTGTCCCGATGCTAACCAGTGTTTTGGAATATGTTCGCCATAGCAATGCTGCATTAATAAAAATCTTTCCTCCATATCTGTACGAATGCAGCATTCCGTTCATTTAAATGCAACTGTAATTTAGAAGCATGTACTTTCTAAAGGATTCGACTGAATTTTTTTTGAGAGATGTAAAATATTTGACACAATTAATCTTCGTATTTAGTTTTTATGTTATCGAATTAAAAGTTGAAGTCAGGATGTCACTGAACTTGAGGAATTTCGAAAAAGTCCGACTTTGAAACATGATGCGAATTAAATATAAATAGACCATAAATTCAGCAACTGGTGATTTGTTCACGTTAGCCCGTGTCTGTCATTATTATCATTATTTTAGAAAATTTTTGTTAACCCACGCCTTTCGCGGTCGGTTCAGAGAGTTTATAATAAAGTTACGAACTACATCGCAGCAGTTCCACCAATTAAATTGCTTTGTTAAAATAAGAATATGATTCAGAGCTATTAAGCCCACTTCGGTTTTATGCCGTCATTAAATAAACCACTCTATTTTCAGCATCAGTGATTGCCAAAGCTTTTGTCCCTCAAAGCCCCTCGAAATCCCTAAGTTAATGTCGTGCGTTGACCTTGCCAAATAATTAGATGAATTTTACCTTTATTTTGAAGAAAACCCTATTTTCCGCCGTACTGCATCTTGATGCAAATTTTTGACATACCAATGACCGTTTTGACGTCGTTCTTATGTTTCCCCGCAACGATATCTGCAGCTGTGATCTCTTTCACGTTATCTTTCGCCTTTGGCGTTTTTCGTTCTTCGCTACATGTATTCACGAATATGAACTTTACTACTTCCGCATTGACATTACCTTCTGGCGAGTGTAATAACCTGATCCAATAACTAGTTATTTACCATGTTTTTTTTCATATGGATGGTTTGATGGAAATCTGTTTAGCCTGAATGTCTGAGATGAGTCGCGAACACTAATCATTTTGCATTTGGAGAGACGTTTGAAGAACCGATTTTACGCGTTCGTTATTCTTTCACCATGGTAGATCTCTCTTAAGCATACAATACTCAGTCACTCGTCTTTTTGTTTGTTGTAGAGTGAAAACAGTGAAGTTGTAAAATTTCACACGTGCTAGAGAAGAAATCCCAGGGTTAGTTTTCAATGATATATACCTATTTGCTTTTGAGGTAGTTCAATGAGAATACCGGTTTGGTAAATCCTTCTAGTGTAGTGCTGAAGGCCGCAGCCTACAGTAATCCATAAAGAAAACATCGAAAACAGCGCTATGGAACTGGGCGATGTCTGATGAACGATGTATGAGAAAGTTAGGAGTGCTATTATATCGTTGTTTGACTGGTCAAGATCTCGAAATGTGATCTAATAATCTTGTTCAGACGAGAAGTTTACTGTTTGCATGCAACCCTGTTTTGTTGGCATTTTCTGAAGTTAATCTCTATTGTTCATTGACAATGTTCGTAGCTGAGTGCAACGTAGCCAGCATGCAGGTGAATGTATCTTGAGCGAAAAGCCCACTGCCATCTCGTTCTCGTTTCCCCTGCTTTCCGCATATAACTAAAGGAGAAGCAGTGGAATTGTTGAAGTTTATCTGTTTCAGGGTTGTATTTACTAGTGGTTGGAAATTAGGAAAAATGGTCGACCAGCTAATTCGAATGGCCAGCGGTGTTCTGTGTGAATTTTCCTTAGTCGCCGTGATTGTAGCAGATCTGAGTTTAAAACTAAGCTAGAGTGGTTTAATTTGATCTTCTTCCCATTGCTCACTTACCTACGTGAATCATGGACTACGACTAAAAAACTTCACTTTCGAGTACAAACGGCTGAAATGGAGTTCGCGAGACGAGCCACTTCTCTGCATGGTCGGAGTACAGAAATGCGAGTGTCTGTGTGTAGCCGTTGCTTCTTCAGAAGTCACAGCCGCGATGATTTTGGCAAGTATTGCAATTGTTTTCAGAAAGAAAGACGAATCAGTTACTACTTGCCCGGTCGAAGACTTCGGGGGCGGCAAAGAAGAATATTGATCAAGTTCTCGAAAGACTGCTCCCCAGACTCGGATTTTCTCTTGCCGAAGTTCAGACGCTGGCACAGGATCGAGATGGTGGGAAGGAGCACCGTCTAATGTGTCTATCTCCGCGATCCGAAAGGATGTGATCATCGAAACTGACAGGCAGACTGACTAAATTATGGAAAATTGCAGTAGTAGATGGCATATTCGGACTTCTGAGAAAAATGATTTAATATTATATGTTACATGTTGTCCATTTTTAACGCATCGATCAATTTAGGTGCTATACATATTCCTGTTTTGGCTTCCGGCAAAACAGTTGAATGGTATCATCGTTCAAAAACGCAAATATTAGTTTTGATTTAATGATGATAGGAATGACAGTAATTTAAATTCAAAAACTTTTCCTGACCAGAATACCCTGATGCATCTGTAAATATAATGATAGACTGTTAGCATATCAAGTTTTTTTGCCGTGTTTCTTTAAAAACGTAGAGTCTGTGCTGCTGACGTCACAGTATCCATAGAAACAACAAATTCCTCTTTTCTGACATTGTGCTGAAGTTATCAGTGAGGATATCAAATACTTCCGGAAGTCCGGTATGGTACTGGACATTGTTAGGGAATTTGTAAACTGCTTCTCAAAGATGGCGCTGCCCTACTATTAGCAATAGTATTTTGCTGAAAATACTCTACAGTGGTGCAACTCATTCCTTCACAGAGACTGTAATTATGAGCTTACCAGGGAACTGATTGGCAGTGACTTGCTGTGTCGAAAATTCGCTATCAGGAAGATGTGTACCGTTTAGAATTTTTTTGTGATTCTGTTCAGATAGTAAACTTGGATTTATTTGAGAACAAATAAGTTATTTCGTGTATATCGCCTGTTGCGAGCAGCAGATGTTATGCCTTCAGGAAGGGCTTAATTCCAGTAATAGACTGTTGTAAAGTGAGTGAATCTTGCCAGTCAGTGAGCAGGCTATGGCGCACCTGGTTCTTAGCTTTCTTGACACTTCAAGATTACCGCATTCAACCTCAAACGCGGTGTAAAAATTATCTAATTTTTGATTTCCTTAAGCGAGGAATTTGTATTTTGCTTCATTGGGCCAGTAAAGAAATGACTAGCAAGTTCGTTACTGCGATTAATCTGACCAGCATGGTGTTCCGGTGTGGTTATCCCAGAGTCTGCAAAGTATATCCATGCTGTGATGCTTACAGTGCCTACGCCTTATGCCTGCAGTGTGCTATATAGCTATTCTAAACTTCGCACATGGAGCAAACGGTTAAACGAAAAATCTTGCACTGTAACATGGCCAGCCTTATAATTAATGTTGAACTGTCAGACGTTGTGTGATGCAAGGATGGGAATGGAAATAAAATTATGCTCCCGTGTTACTGATTTCG